CAGACCAGAAAGTAATGGAAAGAAGAGCCCAACCCTTTGTTATTTTGTCCACTGATTAGGCCTGATCTCCAGCACACCAGTTTTGGTTCACTGAAGTACGGTTCCACACATGGATGGTGGGTAATACAGGCAAAGGAAGGCTTTGCTTTCCCCAAAAGACAAGGTGGCCCAGCACACTGGCTGGCTGTGAAGGCTAGGACTCAGACTGAGGTGGGGCTGCCTGGCTGTTCCGGGGATTGGGCTGTGGCCAGGGGGAGGGAGAAAGCTGGGCTGCCTGGCACTGTGAGGATGCACTCGTGTTGGCCAGGCTAGTAACAGTCTAGCAGCCTGGTCACCAGCCTGACCTAGGCCTGCTCATCCTTACGACCATTCTCTGGGGCTTTCTCCAGGCCACTCTCTGGTGGCTTGCAGGGGAATCCAGCTCCTGCCCCTCTCCAGGGTCCCAGTCCAGGGTGATGAAGGTCTGTTTCTTCAGACGTCCTGCTTCTTCCCTGGGCTATGTCCTGCCGCTGCCTGGCCCTAGATCTTCCCCAGCCCCTCTAAGCCTCGGAGGAAAGGCACCGAAGGAAAAGCACCTCAGAAAATAGTCCAAACACGCCCCTGGTCCCTTCCTGTTGAGAGTCACTTGAGGAGCCATGGTAGGGATATAATAGTCTAGTCAATTAACCAATTAGCAAAAGCTCATTGCTTAATGCTATAGACTACTGTTTTGGAACCGGCTTTGTTCAATATCTTCAGCAACGATTTAGATATTGGCATAGAAAGTACACTTATTAAGTTTGCAGATGATACCAAGCTGGGAGGGATTGTGACTAATCTGGAGGACAGGGTCATAATTCAAAATGACCTGGACAAATTGGAGAAATGGTCTGAGATAAATAGGATGAAGCTTAATAAAGACAAATGCAAAGTGCTCCACTTAGGAAGGAACAATCGGTTTCATACATACAGAATGGGAAGCGACGGTCTGGGAAGGAGTACGGCAGAAAGGGATCTAGGGGTTATAGTGAACCACAAGTTAAATATGTGTCAGCAGTATGATGCTGTTGCAGAGAAAGCAAACATGATTCTGGGATGTATTAACAGGTGTGTTGTGAGCAAGACACGAGAAGTCATTCTTCCGCTCTACTCTGCATTGGTTAGGCCTCAATTGGAGTATTGTGTCCAGTTCTGGGCACCGCATTTCAAGAAAGATGTGAAAAAAATTGAAGAAGGTCCAGAGAAGAGCAACCAGAATGATTAATGGTCTAGAGAACATGACCTATGAGGGAAGGCTGAAGGAATTGGGTTTGTTTAGTTTAGAAAAGAGAAGATTGAGGGGGGACAGGATAGCAGTTTTCAGATATCTAAAAGGGTGTCATAAGGAGGAAGGAGAAAACTTGTTCATCTTGGCCTCTGAGGATAGAACAAGAAGCAATGGGCTTAAACTGCAGCAAGGGAGGTTTAGGTTGGACATTAGGGAAAAGTTCCTAACTGTCAGGGTGGTCAAACACTGGAATAAATTGCCCAGGGAGGTTGTGGAATCCTCATCTTTGGAGATATTTAAGAGTAGGTTAGATAAATTTCTATCAGGGATGGTCTAGACAGCATTTGGTCCTGCCTTGAGGGCAGGGGACTGGACTTGATGACCTCTCGAGGTCCCTTCCAGTCCTACTATTCTATGCTTCTAACAAAATAGAGAAATAAGAGATGTGGCATCTCCCTGGTAGAGCATAGTGTGTCTTCTTGCTAGCACGCTGCAAAAACAAAATGGCACTAGCACCTTAGTAATTTAAAGAGGCAGCATGCAAAAACAACATATGTAACAGCTACATGACTATGTCACATGCCACTGAGTTGAAGATGGCTGACCGAGTGTGACTAAGAACAAAAGTGCACTGCTTACTAAAGCTCATGATACCATTTACATGTTTTGTTAGTCTATAAAGTGCTACAAGACCATTTGTTGTTTTAAGTTTCTCCTATACAGACTAACTTGGCTACCCCCTGAAGCTTAAGGGAAAGTGTCATTCCTTAACTTAGTGGGAAACTATCTACTAATGAGTTCTCATCATGAGGAACTCTAATGGGCTGCCTTATAGGTCTATGGCAAAATAAAAGCATTTTAGGCAAAAATCTGCCCTGCACTTGCATTGAGGTGTAAATCAGGTGAAAGTCTGTTTAAAAAATATATTAATGCTATATCCACCTCTCCATGTGCACCACAAATAGCACATCTTAATATGAAATTGATGATAATAAATGATAGTTATTACAACCGATTAACCTACTTTTCTTTTATCTTCAAAAGACGTTGCTTCCAGTTCATAATCCGCACGCCCATGAAATGTGATGCTGAAGCGCCTCCCTTCATTGTCTTCACAGGATTTAACTTGTGAAAATGGGAACTGTTTCTTGATGATCCCTTTCTCAATGTTAAAAATGGTCTCTGTGTTAAAATCAATCTGGAAGAGAAAGACCTTTCTCATTTGATTTCACCTCTTCCCTTCCTTAACAAGGAATGGCCAATCACCGATATTAATATGTGAAATATTTTGGTTCCTGGCTAAAGGGCCAAGTGAGAAAATGTATCTGTTCTGCTGATAATTAGAATTAAAAAAACCAAACATTTGCTTATCCAACTACTGTACAGTATTTACGGTAGTTACCAAAGAAATATATATGTATTGTATCTGACTTATCCTTATCTCTTTGATAAATACACATCAATTCATCATTCTGAAGCATCGTTTTCTTTGAAAATTTCCACATACCTTGTCTAAGCCACTGCAAGAGTTTGTTCTATAGCAGCAGCATAGGCTACTGCAATGTTATTCTGACTGGAGCTTTAAACACTGGGCAAAGAACAAGCTGATGCTTCTAGCCCCATATCAAAGTTGATTGGTAATCACTGTTCAAGTGGCCATTCTTTAGCAATGGAGGGGAGCAATAATAGATTGACGTACATTTTAACAAACAACATCAAACATTTTTCACCATGAAACTCCATGTCTTTTTCCTCAGGGTGGGAAGGAACCCTCTGGAAATACATGACTAGACTATGAAAATGAAGAGCAAAAACTATGTCAGGTAGTCAGTCAGTCTCTCTCTCTGTCTCTCTCGCTGTCTCTCTCTGTCTGTCCCTCCCCTCCTCCCCTTCAACAGCAAAGCTGTTGGTCAGCATATTGCTGAGAACGTGTAGTAATAATTTTACAATAAGTCTTGTTGGTTAAGTTTTAGTTATTAAGAGGCATTTACATCTTCTCTCTCTTTGAAGTGTTTCTGATTTGAATACCATATGGCTGTGTCTACACTGGGCCACTTATTCCGGAAAATCAGCCTCTTTTCCGGAATAAGCTGCGAGCTGTCTACACTGGCCCTTGAATTTCCGGAAAAGCAACGATGCTCTACTGTACAAAATCAGCCGCTATTCCGGAAAAACTATTCTGCTCCCGCTCGGGCATAAGTCCTTATTCCGGAACACTGTTCCGGAAAAGGGCCAGTGTAGACAGCCCAGTAGTCTTTTCCGGAAAAAAGCCCCGATCGCGAAAATGGCAATCGGGGCTCTTTTCCGGAAAAGTGCGTCTACAGAAAAAGGGCTTTTCCAGAAAAGCAGCCTGCCAGTGTAGACGCTCCTTTTCCAGAAAAACTGAAAACGGAATAGTATTCCGTTTTAAGCATTTCCGGAAATTCATGCCAGTGTAGACACAGCCTATATGTGTACTCATTTAAATCCAAAATCTTCATAGTTAAATAAACTTGTTTTTTTCTTTAATCAGAACTAACCCAGTGCTTTATTTAAAGTGATTCGCTTGGTAACTCCAATTAAAGTAGCAAACTGTTATACTTTGACCCTTTACAAGGAGCAATGGACGTCTAATATCAGAATGTCCGTGGATGGGTTGGATTGGGCTTAATGCACATTTTGGGGAAAATGTACGACCAAATATGTGTTGAGGGTTCCCTGAAAGCAATAACCAAAGCTGCTGGTAGCCAGAGTTGGCTGGTGTGTTGCTGGACCAGAACTGCAGCTATACATGGACACTCAGGCGTGACCAGCATTCTATCTAGCATTCTATCTGTTTGTGGAAACTACAACAGCCAAGCATTGCGAGGTACCCCAGGTTAAAGAGCAGGTGGTGACAGACTCTCACTGATTTGGATCGTGGAATGTGATACAATACAGGCAGTCCCCGACTTACGTCGGATCCGCACTTACGAACGGGGCTTTCTCGCCCTGGAGCTCACAGGCAGCGGTCAGCCACCTCAAGCTCCGGGGCGAGAAAAGCTGCTCCCGGTGCCCCTGGTCTGCTGGGGACCGTCTCCAGCAGACCAAGGGCATCGGGAGCAAACCCGCAGCAGCGGCGGGTTCCCGCGCTTCTGAGGCTTTGCCAGAGCAAAGCCTCAGAA